CCCACCTTTGCCCTGAAATAGTCAATGGTGATGCACAGTTGGGATTTTATCAAGCCTCGAGAGCTTCAATTCACTAATTAAACCATGACAGGAAAGCCTAAATGAGCTTCCATGTTTCTGTCCCCCATGAAACAGCGCCCCTGGGTACAATGACAGATATTGGTGGCCATCAAAGAGACAGTAAATAAAAGGGTCAGCAGGATACTGGAAACAGAGACCACTATTGACTGCCTCAATTAATCAATTCTAAAATTTGCGTAGGAGACCCAAGGTGAGGGTCAAACGGAAATTAATGAATTCTAAAATCTACATTAGGAGACACAAGATGAGGGCCAAATGGAAATTAATTCATTCTAAAATTTACGTAAGACACAAAAAAGGTGAGGGCCATCAACCCACACACAGCAAATTAGGGATTTTACTTTAGCCAAAAAGCAAAGGACAGTCTTGCATTTGGGATTCCAGTTCAATGGACAAGCAGAGGTTTAAAAAAAAAAAGGCCCATGAAATCTCTCTTAACATCCCACCTTTGCCCAGAATTAATAAATGGTGATGCAGTTGGGATTTCATCAAGCCTCGAGAGCTTCAATTCAATAATTAAACCATGACAGGAAAGCCTAAATGAGCTTCCATGTTTCTGTCCCCCATGAAACAGCGCCCCTGGGTACAATGACAGATATTGGTGGCCATCAAAGAGACAGTAAATAAAAGGGTCAGCAGGATACTGGAAACAGAGACCACTATTGACTGCCTCAATTTATCAATTCTAAAATTTACGTAGGAGACACAAGGTGACGGTCAAAACGGAAATTAATGAATTCTAAAATCTACATAGGAGACACAAGATGAGGGTCAAACGGAAATGTAACATTTACGTAAGACACAAAGGTGAGGGCCAAACGGAAATGAATGAATTCTAAAATTATGTAGGAGACACAAGGTGAAGGTCAAACGGAAATTAATTCTAAAATTTACGCAGAAGACAAGGTGAGGGTCAAATTCTACACCACCACACCAAATTCATCCACAAGAATGAAACCGGCTGAGAAGGGGCGTTTTTTAAGTTTATTGCACCGAATCCTGGCTCTGTGGGGGTTAAATATTCCAATTTCCAAATCCCCTCAGTCAACAACTTGTCGCTGGTGTCTTTACAGGAACCACAAATTCCTCTGCCAACCGGTTTGGTCATGTACTAAAATTTATAAGGAATTTATTACGCCATTATCAAATAGTAGATAAAAGGGAGGGGAGATTACAAGGCCAGATGAGAATAGACACTTCCCTACGGACAGCCCCGAAAAAAAAAGAGCCCAACATCACAGCACAGCGAAAATCCTTTGTTGCAACAGTCACGTAACCCTTGCACAGCCGAGGAGCATCATCGTCACACTCTGAATTCCATTGTTCACCGTAATAGGAAGCTCACCGACAGTGCTACAACAGACACAGAACAAGTTGCTGAAGACATCTTATAACAAGTCCCAGGGCGAGTGATAACATGTGTGTTGGAAATGGGTGGGAGGCATGGGTACGACTGTTGACATCCATCAGTTGACTATGTAAGGCCCAGCCTCTGTGGTTGCTGAATTCCCGATTATTACACCCAAACTAGGGATGATAGATGCCTTGCGAAGAGGTCCAGATGTTCCGTGGGTTCCCAGCGCTCGCTGCGCACCTGCCCCGCATTAAATCCCGATACCTAATTAATAAACGTAGAGATTCAGACATTCCCGTCCTGGAGGGATCGTGATTTAGCTGAGCAACACCTCCTGGAATAAAATGCATGGGAATGCAGGAGCCGAATCCCAGAAACGGTCAGGTGTGAGAGGCGCTGTGGGTGGGTGGGCTGGCATCAGCTACAGATAAGATGTTTTCCTCCGATACAATCATCGTCCAATTTGCCAACCTACATTGGACTGCAAGGGATCTCACCCACATACTTGTTGATGTCTTCCGCATATTTGATGAACTACAAACCGATTTAGCTATTTTTTTTATTATTATTTGGAACAAACATTGCTCGCTTTTCACACGTCGCTCGTTTCGATTACACAGAGAGCCCGATCAGACAATTACTGTATAATAAGAAAAATAAAAAGGAAACGCATGCTAGTTACACACACACACATCCAATGGGGCAGATCCGTGAAGAAAAGAGCAAAGCAATACTAGAGCCATTGACCACAGCTATCAGACTCCATGTTTCCCTATCCCAGTTCACGAACACGAAAGAAAGGAGAAACTTGATTGGTTACGCCGCCCCCTCCCCCCCCTAAAAAAAACAGTCCTATTTCCCTTTTACTTCACTTTTGCTACAGCAGATGCACTGATTACACATTGACATCAGCAAAAGGAGGAGATCTTCCGACCCGACATGTAGGCACAAAACCCCAGGATTGGTTCAACCGGGCGCAGATCTGACGCACGCCATTTGTGCACCCATGAGGACGATGTGCTGGAATTTGATACACACCTGATCGCTCGTCTCTGCAGGATGTTGCACCGGCGTGACAAACAATGAATGATTTAACGCACATAGCAGGTGTTTTGCGTGCGCTTATAACGCCGTACTGCGCAGTCACAGCGTACAGCCAGAGATTTGTCTCCGCCATGCATACCAGGCATCTGTCACTGGTGCCGCTAAGATTTACGCTCGCAATCAAAATTATCAGCGTGTAAGCGCCAATGTAGCTCCCCGCTCGGAAAGCTTCTACCTAGACACACACATCGCGATCGGCGTGGTCAGGTGATGCGCACGCTTACGGCCATCCATGCACAATCGTAAATCGAAGAGGCAGTCACAGGATTTTACATGCTCGGCTGTGAAGGTTACTGGCTACGGACAAGCGTTGGCAGTGGAGATCAGGAGAGATCAGCAGGATATCAAAGTCGAAACAAAAAAAAAAAAGGTCGGTTGAGTAGTAGATTTTGAGCAGTAATTCACACACCGCCATGCGCAGCATACGTAAGGGGTTGTATGATATGATACATACATGAGTATGTGTGCAAAGCAACTTTCACCGCTCAAATTGCTTCCTGCTAAACAACCGTCGTTGAATGTCTATAAAGCACCTTCACGCAATGACATGAGATTCACATATGTGTATGTACCCAGAAATAAATAAAAAAAGCAAGCAGAAAAAAAAAAACAAGCTCTGAACACCGCAATCAGGAGAGTTAAACGCGTGTCAGGCTACACGCGTGATGCAACGGGATGGACACCTTTCTGGAGACCTCAAAAGCAGCGGATTGGAGATGCATGGAAGCAATCAAGACACATGTGTGTAAATGGGAACACACTGCACCCCCTCCGGATCGACAACACATACAAAGATGAACACACTCCGTGCGACTACACACAGCAGATGAGGGCTGCACGATCTGACAGACAAGCCGGAGGTGTCACTAGACTTCTGGGATTAAAAAAAAAAAAAAGCATAGTGCAGAGTTCACTGCGGACACGCACACGCATGTTCCCGTAGCTTTCTATACGGACCGGGAAGCCAGGGAAGGAGCAATGCGCTGGACACAAAGTAACAAGACGTGGTCACAAAGTGTCTGCGTGTCACCACGGCGATCGGGACGCTGAGCACAATGCGGTACAGATCAGATCTGACA